ATTTCATTCTTTCTTAATTACATGCTTTTTAATTGAAACTTGTTTTTAGATATAGAAAATAAATTTTCAAAAATTAAAATTTAATAATTGAATTAAGAGAAAAATATTTTTACTCTCAAAAATTCAAATGCCACACACATTTTAAAGCGTCGCATGTGAAAATGTATATATATATATATATATATATATATATATATATATATATATATATTGAACGAAGAGTCATAATTCACTCGGGGAGCGCAGATTTGTCAGGCTACAATTTTATTTGGCTATGGATTAAGTTCTCTCGCGCGCTCGTATTACGTTTCGAATTTATCGACGCTTATTTGCGGCACGCGCATTTAAACCGAATCATGAGGTCGGTCAACCTGCTCTGTTTACTTTTCACAGTGAAATTTGATAACTCACCCACAGTCTCATTTCAACGTATTATATCAATTTTTTATTTTTTAACAAATTTTCACACACAATTTTTTTTTTTCTTTCAATTTCTTGTAATTGTTTTGTCTTGAAAAAAAAATTGGGCCTATTTTAAACCTAGTGAGTAAAGTATCTTCCTTTGTATCTAGGGAGTAAAATATCCTTTTTAGATCACAGGCAGAAAAATACTATTCTTAGTCTAAGAAGTGTATTTGAAAAAAAATTTTCATTATGTTTAAAAATCATAGAATTTAATTCTCCCATAAAAATTTTTCTTAATACGCAGAAAAAATTATTAGATTAACGATTTTCTATTTGTCCGATAGGATTTTATCTCTTTTTTTTTGCGTCGATCCATTTTCCTTTTCTTTGTTTATTTTTTTCCTTTTCTTTCTTTTTTTTTTTTTGGGAGACTGTCTTTGATAAATACACTATACCTCCCAATAAAGTTTTGGTTGCGGTGTGCCATCGCGAGCATTTTTCAATTAGCGAAAACAAAGGACAACAGTGCAATAATTGCAACAAAGCGAAAACAAAACAAGCAAAAAAAAAAATCCCCCCCCTTCCCGCACCCGGAGTAATTGGCCAGGCTGGTTTGTTGTTGTCGCCATCGTTGTTGTTCAGGGGGGGTTTTTTTTTCTGGGATTACCCGGGGATCCGATCCACCTGGACTGTACTTTTGCGCGCATCGAGAGTGAAAAAGATAGACTTGCGTCAAAAGTATTTCCGAGGCGCCAGGACAAATTTGCTTCAACGATAGACAGTCGCATTTATAATTCACCAACTCGAAAAAAAAGCTCTTTCTGTATGCGACAGCTCGTTTGTTTTTTCTCTTTTTTTTCCCCCTTTTACTGCCTTGTCTTCGTTCTTCGATCGTCAATGCGTGTGAACCCGGCCTAATGTAAATTTCCCTTTCATGATCTTAACTTTTTCCTCCAACTTTTTTGTAAATTCAAATTTCTTTTTTCATTTTTTAAAAACATTTCTTAATCAAAAATTTATTACCTTTTTTAATTTGTTTCATATGTGTGTGTGTGTGTGAAAAGAAAATAAAAAGCGGAAAAATTGAATTAAAATAGTTTTTTTTTTTTTTCTTAAGGCGATACACATGAATTGCTGTGTAGCAGGGCTAGGTAGGTGGTGGAGAGGTAGCAATTAACTTCTCGCGAGAGATTAGTGCAAGATATTACGAGATATCGAACGACTTAACGGCAACACGCGAGAGACTTCAAAAAGCAGTAATAAACTGCCTCTAATGAACCCCTTATCGCCATCGCGCCACCCTCTCTTTCTCTTACCCTTTTTCACTCAAAAGCCCTTCTCCCTCTGTGGCCCTCCCTCTTCTGACATAAGTAACCAACAACCTTGATGTATACGTGACAGTATAAGGGGTTACAGCCGACATTTTCAAATTTACCGACTATTCTTGCCTTATTTCGAGAGAATGAACGATAAGAAATTATTATTGTGATATCGATCCCAGTTAGCTAATTACTATGTACGATGTAATCTATTTTGTCCTCTATATAGTCGCAAGTAATGACGTTAAAATAATTTTTATTACCTTTTTTCTCTAACGCTTTTTCTTTATTTCATATGTTATATATTTAGAAACAGAAAAAAAGGCAATAGGTCATTTGGAAAAGAAAAATTATACTATAATTATAGTAGTTGATAAATAATTCAAAAGGGGTTACAATGTCAAGTGTGTATAGTTTATGAAACTGATTTTAAATGAGGCTTAAATTTTTTGTATTAAATCGATAGTGCGAGCCAACTTTGAAGAAAAAATATTTTTGATTCTATAATTATATAGTGAGCCAACTGTACTTTGAACCGTTTGAAGCTACCGTACTGAATTGATGGCGACCAAACCCTACCAATTTGTAGCTACCGCACTCTGGCTTTAATGTAAACTGCTAGCGACCCAACCCTGTTAATCTAGAACCTACCCAATGATTCTTATTTTCTACCAAATTATAAAATAAAAACAACAGAAGAATAATGTTACTAATTATTAATATATAACTAATATTACAAATAAGATACCAGTTCTAGAAAATTTTAAACATAACCTATCAAATTTTTCTTTTGTAAAATTTGTCATAATGCAGTCACCCTTTAAAAAAAAGTTTTCAACCTACCTCTCCCGAGGAGTACTTACAATTCGAGAGAAACTGAAATTGTGCCATTTTAATGGTGTGTGGGTGAATGTATGTTGAAAGAGGGATGGGGAAGGAGTGTTCGTTTCTTTTGGATTCAAGGAATGTTTCAATCAGTTTGATTGAAGGGCTGAGCCACGGCAAGAGGGTAAACTCGATTTACAGCCGTGTAGGGAGAGACGACGGTTTTTGGGGGCGAGAGGGAGAGGAAGTATATATATATATATATAGAAACGGGTGCCTGCGGTGGACCGGGATTTTGAGATAGTATGTGTATAGAGAGAGAGAGAGAGGGGGTGCGGGGGTGCCACAATCACCGGGATGCGTCCAATCACCCTCTCCTCTCGTCAAGCAAGCTTACGTTTCGACTGGTGTGCTGCACACGAGGAAATTCCTCGTCATAGCGGGAAAGAGGTTTTTGAGAAGCGCGAGAGAAGAGAAAGCAAGGCACAGCAAGCCAATCATCGCTTCGGCATTCCGTTGGAACATGTCTAGTAGTCGACGACTACGACGACAACGAAGTCTCGCGCTCCTGCTTTGCCCTAGATGTGCAATCAGACCAACCATCCACCGCATCCTCTAACCCACCTATCCTCACCCTCCCCCCTCCATTCCCTCATCCTACTTCTGGACGAATACCAAATTCTAGCAATTTGGTAGCTAGGTACTTTGTTGAATCAACATGATTGGGCTTGACGAAATCCACTAGGGTGCGTCTACATTGACTAGACATTCTCTCTCTTTCTCCGTCTTACTTTCTTTCTGCCTCATTATTATAAAAAACATTTAGCCAATATATTTGAAAACTATGGTTTACCAATAAGGAGAAGAAAATTATTATTGAAATTACTGTTACTTAAAGTGGTTTATCACAATTTAATTAATTATTAACGGTACCCTTCCATTTATATGAATAGGTATTATTGCAAGAGAGTTTATACTAAGTGAATGCAGTATATGTATTTACTATAGATGATTTTATAAAGTTGAGTTCTGTGTGCACAATCCACGAGCTAGGATGAAAAACCGGTTTTCGAAATACGACTGTAGGGGAACATGTCAATTGCAACTGAAGGAGAGAGAGAGAGAGAGAGAGAGAGAGAGAGAAAGACAGAGATTGTTTATAGTTGATGATGACGCTATTTGAATAAGGAGTAAGTAATCAATAAAAACTTTTTCAAAATAAAAATTAAAAAACATAAAAATATTTACTTTTATCGAATAGAGGTTAGGTATTTCAAATCGATTATTATTAATTAAATCAATGAATCTATACATAAAGTAGACAAGGGAAAAAATACACGTCTCTTGATGATGAGAGAATTTATGACTCTATTGGCTGTATATATGAATTTTTCGAAATCCATTAATCAATGCTTCCAGGAGGCTAATGAATTCTAGACGCAGGAAATAAATTAGAAATCAGTTAGAAACTAAAGTAGTTAATGATCTATTCCTACGGTAGCCTCTCGTAAATGTCGATCTTAAATTATTTATCTTCAAATCACTAAATTTTTATATAAGTATAAATATAATTAGGAATTTGAAATTAATTTTTAGTATTTGTTGAATTAAAACTAAAGAATATAGTAACCGAACCCTGAAGCTATCACACTCCACCCCTACTATTCATTAATAGCAACCCAACCTTGCTGGATTTTAGCTACCTCACTATGGTCACATTGAAGCGACCCAACCCTGACTGCTTTTAGCCAACACTCTACTAGTGACTATTTATCATAGTACGGTAGCCCCAAACGAACAGGGTTGGCTCGCTATCAAAACAGAAACCTAAAAAAATAATAATTAAAATTTTAATTAATAATAAAAAAAAAACTCAAGAATTACAATTATTAATATTATAATTATTTTGGATATTCGTTACGAAATATTATACCTCGGGACATTTCTGTCACCATCGTACATTAATAAAGCAATCAAGTGGAGAAAAATGTAATAAGACAAGTTCAAAGATATACACATACATACGTGTCCAAAAGTACATTTTACTTGAGTTACACACATTTTGAAGCCCCGCAAAGTCGATCTATTCCGGGAGGGCGGTCTAACTAAGTTCAGCGTCTGTTTCTCATTAAATTGCGCTCTGACCTCGAATCCTCTAAATTTGGAACGGTCTCCCCGTGTACGATTAGGTACCTCTATATACCTCCTCTCTTCACAGCGGTTCGACACACACACACACACATATACACAGAGTAAGAGAGAGAGAGACTTTGACCTCGGAAATTAGACACATTCGAAAATATTACGAGTCGTTTCCAAGAAAACTAAACTTTGATTTATCCCATGTAATTCTTCTCACACTTTTTTAGAATATTTTTCTTCTCCCCCTCCCACCCCTCTTTCTTCTATTTTAGAATTTTAATAAATTAAAATTTCAAGAAAAAATAATTCTTACCTTCTATAATCACTTTTGCAGAGGATCATTTGATTTTTAGCATAACAGCTAGGTCCAATGTCGGCTAATAATGATCCACACGCTGTACATTTTAGACAATTATTATGCCAATAGCGATCCAATGCGTAATAGACGTGCCTATCGACAATTCGGCAACCGCATCCCGCACATGGTTGAATGCCCACTGATCCCTCATGTCCTGCTTCTTGCTATAATCAAAACCAAAGAGACTTTAATGCTTTTTGCTTTAACAATATTACATATATATGTTCAAAATACATTTTAACGATTTTCAAAAAATATTTACCACTATAAAAAAAATCCTATAAATATCAAAGTAAAGGAAAATAAAAAAAGTGTTCTTTTCTGCTCTAGTGATTTCCTTTTTAAGCTAATGTAAGAGATTCAGTGACTTTGGAGTTTATAATTTTTCTCAGACTAAGAACTCTCTATATATATATAATAAAGTAATACTTATGGTACAGTCATTTACTTGTATAGTTGAGATTAAGGTGTGTCTCATGAAACGGGACCGGGGCTGTGCGACCCGGATCATGTGTGCGTAACTTTTTCACATTTCTTTCAGTTTCATATATGTATTTATATTTTAAATTGTAAAATAAAAGAATTAGCATAAAGAATAGAAAAAAGTCCCCCCCTGGGGGGTTTCTTTTCTTTTTCTCTTTCTCTCTATAACACTAAACGAAACTAATTTTTTAACTGACAATCAATTAGTTTTTTTATTGCTTTAAACTGACATTAGTATCTTTCAAGATCTTTTTGAGAGACAAGTTCCCACACTATATTCGTCTGTTGTATAAATATATTTCTCATAGTAATGAACTGTGTGTTTATTATTTGTAAGCAAATCAATTTTTGAATTTATTTTTTACCGTTAATGTCCGTCTAGATAAATGGAAAAAAAACTATTTTCAAATTTACGTTTGATAGTTTACGAAAAATTGATCTGAAATTTATAAAAAATATTTCTTTATATATTCATTAATTGTAACAAATTTTACAATATTTCAAGTATATACATAAAGGGACAATTGTTGAAAATTGTTTAAATATAAAGAAAATCTAATATTTTCAAGAAAATAGTAAATCAAAGAAATTTCAATGAGAGGAGAACTCTAAATATTAATATTTGTTTAATTTTTCTATAAAATTTTCAGTAAATGTTCCTTTATGTATTTATTAATTATAATGAAAATTTTAGAATTCTTTGCAATGCTAGAAATTGAGTTATTTAAATGCAAATTTAAATCAAGTAAATCAGATTAACGAAATCAAGTTAAAAATCAATTTTTAGACAAATTATTCGTCTTTTAGCACTGGAAAAAAGTTTTGCAATTTTTAAAAAAATTTCAAATTAATCATAATATTTCTTCAAAAAATTATATGAAAATTTAAAGAAAATCAACTAGTAGTCGCGTAGAGGTTTCAACAATTTTTTCTTAAAATTCTCAACTTAAATATAGAAAAAAATATTAAATGGTAAAATTTTTTCAAAATCTTTGAACACAAAAAATTATGACTTTTTTCAAATAATAATAGTAGCCGCGGAGAGCGTCAGAAATTTTTTTTTCAAATTTTAAGAAAATGTTTAATTATGAATTTTTTAAATGTGTAACTTTTAAACTCGCTTTGAGATATTGAAACTTTAATTTAAAAATTTAATTTTTACACACATTTAAAACATACACAATGCAACATTTTTTCAACACTGCAAAAAGAAGTATCTTATTTTAAGATGTTTTGGTAGCGTTTTTAAGACATTAAGACATTTTAAACATCTAAATGCTACCAAAACATCTTAAAATAAGATACTTCTTTTTGCAGTGAAGTTTAAAAAAAATTTGCAAGTTTTTCAAAAAAATACTGAACCGGATTTCATTCTTGCTGGTACAAACAACAAAACTGTATTTCTTAAAAAAAAATTGTAAACCATAAATATAAAGTATAATTTTTTTTTATTGAAAGACACCTCCGTAGCTACTTTAACAGAATTTAAAATAAAGAAAAAACGGTAAAATATAGAGATGCACTTAATTGAAACCATTACGTAATCTAAGTTTAATCGTGGCACTAATGGGATCCTTACAATCCTGTCGCCGGGGAAGCACTTCATTTGAGGCATACGCGACGTGATAGTGCTGTGATAGTGATGAGTGTGAAGCTCCATTTTCGTTTCTGTACAGTCTCAAACTAAATACACAAGTTTTTTTGTTTTTTAAATTATTTTTCCACAAAAGTAGCGTGCGGACGTCTATCTCTAGAGAGAGAGAGAGTCGTTCTTGACAGAGACCGGTTAAGGTTAGGTTCACTGTCGCGGACACTTACAACCCACGCGGATCACTTGTTTTTCTATTCCATTTTCTTTTCTCACACAAATAAATACCTCAAGAAACACTTCACTAATATCGATGATAGTGATGATGAAAAATCCAAATCTTGACAAAAACTATTTAGGAACAAAATGTAAGAAATACATCACATCATAGAGAGAGAAAAAAAACAGCAAGGCACAAACTCTTGAGGACCTTGGTATTCCACTCGCTAGTCCACTTGTTGATCCCGAGAGATCTCAGACCCGTTATTATTCCCGTCTTAAGATCTCAAGGTCGGTGCACTCGAGCCGAAACGCTCCTGCCGTCGTCGTCTCTCTCACTTTTCACAGAGAGAAAAAGAGCACACTTCACTTTTTTTTATATTGTAAAAAAAACAGAACTTCACTCTCGATTGCCTTTTAAAATTCACAAGAACATTAATCGATTGCTTTCCATTTCATTTGTCTTCGTACGAAAAAAAGACTAATCCGTTAATCTATTAATTCCTTTTTTTCCAAATTCACTGATAAGACTCACTTTCTTTTTTTATTGGCGAAAATTATGAGAAAAAAAAAAGAAATGAGAAATTTATTTACGAAATTGAAAGAGTAAGAAAAAGACGAAGTTACCCCGACCGGAGTCAGGATTCAACTGAAGGGGCCTCTCTCTCTCTTCTACAGTTTCGAACACAATCATTTGGAGTGGGGAGGGAAATAAAAAGGCAAGTCTAGAAAGGCCCCTAACGTCAAAAAAGGAGTGGGGAGACATGGTGGAGAGAGAGAGAGAGGGGGGAAGGGTCCCCCTTGTCCGCCTCTCCGCCCCTATTCAATTATATTTCTCCACGGTAAATGCCCATATTGTTACGTTTGTCAATGGTAAGCTAAGTGAGGGTCACGATATATAGTCGCGGTAGGATAATTCACAGAGAGAATTCTGTCTCTCTCTTTCTCTCCTAGAAACCCTATGGTATTTATTGAAGAGTCTCTTTTTGGTTAGGACCTTGGTTAGGACCTTTTTTCTTCTCTCTCACTCCTTGCTCTTCCTACAACAACCGGTCCCTTTTGCTCTTCTTTCTCTCTCTCTCTCTCTTCTTTTTCATCTCTTTCTTCAAACCCTATACTGAACGACAAGAAGAACTTTTAAGCTCGCTTTTAAAGTTCTTCTTGATTCTTCGCCGATTTTCTAGGCTCCTTGAGATTCAAGTCCTCTGGAATGTGAGGTATCAATTTAACAAAGGGGAATGTATGCACGTGCTCCAAATTAATGGTCTTCTCCTTCAAGTAGTTGATATTATCTCTTATTATCCTTTAATTTTGTATATTCGTACTTTTAAGGTGAAACTTGTTCCTTTTTCAAACTTTTAAGAAAATTTTAGACAAAGACTGTCAGAAATTAGTTAATTACTAGTCGAGGGTAAATTTAAAAAAAATGTTCACGATCACTTTTACATGATACGCCTATCCGTTTCCGAACTGTAACAAAAGTTTTGTTCAACTGGGACTGGTCAGTTCCATTCCCAAACTTTAACGAAATTTTAAATCAATTAGGATGAAAATTTGTTTTAATTTGCTCAGAGTAAATTATAAATAACGTCTCAAATTATCTTATTAGATTACACATATACATTTCCAAATTTCAAACCAATCACGAATTGTTGGTAAAATTATTCTTCTAATTTTTTTGGTGTAAATTAGAGAATAAATTACAAACTAACGTTGCGAATTGCTACGCATATCAATTTACAAACATTAACGAAATTTTAGAGCAATTTCAATTATATAAAATAAATTATTCCTTGGTTATTAATATAAATTAGTTAATTAAATTTTATTATAAAGAATAGGATATATACGTTTCGAAATTTGAACGTTATTTTAGACCAATTAGGTCATTGAAAATTATTCTTTAGTTTCTAGTGGCATATTTAACCATAAAATATGAAATATATGATTATTTTATATATGTACACTGTCAACAAAATTAGAAATATAAAGAATGGGGAAAAAACAATAATCCTTCGACCACAACATGAAACATATGCCATATCTATATAAGAGAGACAGTATAATTTTAAAACTATTTGTTCACCACAATACTATATATATATAATATATCCATGAACTATTCAACTTCGCTATATAGCATACTTCCGGTTGAAACTTTCTCTCACGGTCATTCTCGCGGGACGAGTTATATAGAAAGTAGTAAAGCACATCACACGATTTATCTACTCCAATCTAAGTGAAAAAATACATATATAAATTTATATATATATATATATATATAATTTTCAATGGAATATTTTATAAAATTTTCTCTAAAGTTTCTAATAGAAAATTTCAAGCTGTCAAACTATATATATATATTAATATAAAAGACAATTAAGAGAGATTCATTTGTCCCAGAAAAACAATAAAACATGGTATTTGTGAAAATAATATTGAGACTTAAATAAAATGTTAATAATATATTACAATTATAATGGATTTACGATTCATTAGTTTATCTACATCCATCGTAATAATTATAGTTAAATTTATATATATTGTATAGTGTGAATGGAATTCTGCTTTCCACACACGGACGAATACAATTTAATGACATTTTGTAGTAAGAGGGATATTTAACGAAACAGTATATGTATATATATATATATACGAGTATGTTTCCCTGTGTATTCATTTGGAAATGTAATTTACATGAATGCAAATCACAAGCAAAGAGTTACGATCATTCGAACGTTTAAACGGCATATGTCAGGGCAGCTAATGCTAATGAGATACAAAATGTTTACGTAACCTTATGGTGTCCCGTGCGCGAAATCGATTAATCCTTTAATATATACGACTTATTTTTTTGCATAAAATTATTGTTGTTGATAATATATACATATATAGTTTTGTTCTCTAAAGGGATTTTATTGACCATGAAAAAATATTTACTATAAAGGTCAAAACAATTTACTAATCTTTTTTTAAAAAAATCATAAATCTACATCTCCCCTTCTTGATTTCCAATAATTTTTCCCAAATTATCTGACAGCTGTTTGCAATATTTTTCCCTCTCACACATAAACACAAAAACAGGTGAATAATCACGTGTGAGGGTAAAAATTTTTTAAAAAGAAATATATATATATATACCTTTAAAGTACAATTGTTGTTGTGATTAACTGGAGGATAGGGCAGATGTCCCGATAGGTGAGGATGAGAATGACTCTGATGATGAGGTTGATCACCCAACATATTTCCCGGCCCATGATGATGACCATTACTATTTAAGCCCTGTCCACTTTGTAATGTTGAATAAGGGGTATTCGAGTCAGGTTGTGCTCCATATGGGGGTGAATGTGGACTTGGATCTGGGGTAGTGGTAGTACCATTGCCTCCGCCTCCTCCACCACCACCTCCACCACCCGTTGAATAACCATGATGGGGTCCACCTTGAGCATGATGAGGACTCCCAGCAAGTGATGGATGGTGGGTGTACGGGTTCATACCAGCGGCCAAAGCGCTCGCCAGCTTGAATGATTCAAGGGTGGGCCTCAAGAGCCCACCTCTCAGATGATGCAAATAAAACGAAAGTTCAGGACTCTACTGCCCCAATGCCAGATTATTGCGGCACCTCCTGCTCGAGCAGCACTTCCGCTTGAACTACAAAAAGAAACAAACAAAAATTTCATTAATAAAATAGATAAAATAACATCATTACTATCGCTAATTATTATCATAAGAATTCCTATATCAGTAAAGTAAAAACATACACTCACACAAATAGAACAAGACTCTCGGCTAAATAAAATATTCCTTTTTTGTGAGTCAATTTACAACCGCCACAGATCGTGTCTGTGACTCTCATTCGTTGGAAAATTGCAGTACAGGACAGGGGGTTGTGGTGCTTGGTTAGAATAATTCGCCAAGGAAGGAACTATATATATACAGGGGAAGTTTTTACGATCAACCGAGGCAATTCGCGAAAGAGTTCGTCAGCCAAAGAAATATTTAAATTCAATCCGGATGCGAGGGCAGTAAAGCAGGACGAATCGTTGGAGACGAAAGCAGCTCTATATAGCAGCAGTAGCAGTTCCAACACACGACGCGCAGGGGGAGAAAGACAAGAGGGAAGAGGAGAGTAAAGGGGGTAAGAGGGGGGGGGTAAAGTTAACTGGGACTTTCTGTGTGTCCAAACCCTCCTTCCGGTTGTACCGCCGCACACCCGAACAAAACGGATACGCTGACTATATATATACATAAGACGTATTCAAAAACCCCGGGAGAGAGAAACGAGGGAGGCTCACCCACAGTAAAACCAGCGTTTTATGAGTATTGCATTCTGCTACTTTACTTCAGGGCTAGCCCTCTTCTTCGTTATCCGCTTTAATTAAGTATTCTATCGTTTTAATTATATTCCAAGACGCGTACCGCCTCCCGCCATAGATAAGAACCGCGCGTTATTGTCAAAATGAAGACAATTTCTCTTCTTCGTTTAATTTTTTCTCTAATGATTTCTAAAATTAATAATTCTCAAAATTTAGAAACACTGATGAGGGTCTAATGTCTTTTTTTTGGGGGGAAATTTATTTTTTAAATTTCTTTTTAGATGTAGGGCGTTTCGAATTATTTTTGATCGATTTGACCAATTGTATTAGTGTATATATATATATATATATATATACACGAAATCTTTAGCGGAAACGACCAGGACCATTGTGTAGCGAAGCGAACAAAAGCTTCTTCTAATTACTTGCCTTTATGATCTTTTCCGGCGTCCAATCAGATTTCCTCATTTCCCTGGGCCCTCTGGAAAGTAATCTCATTAACTCGGCTACCGCTTCAACTACCCTCCGCGCTACCACTCTTCGGCCACTATCATCACTCCTTCCTATACTTTTACCCCCTCCCACCTCTTTTGGGGGCTAGAGAATACATTCTACAACTTGCTGGATCCTCTCTTACTCTCCTGTCCATCTCCGGATTAATGGTTTATTTAGACAAATGAGAAAGACAATGGTTTATAAAATAGGTTTTTTTTTTTTGGGTAATCGGATTTACGTTTTTATTTAAAAAAAAAACTTTTCTTTTTTTAAGGATAAAAATTAATTTTTTAATTAGAATCCAGATGAAATGTAACAATTTGTAAAATCATAAATTTTTGTTCTAAAACTTTCAACATCTGGCATCAATTTGTGTGAAAAATTCTCAAGTACTTAAATTTTGCTAACAGTAAAATTCTCTCTTTTTTTATGGAGGACATAGATATATAAAATATTTGCTTTCTATTTGTCTCTTAAAAGTTATAAATGTATATTGTGTGAAGTCTGAACTCAGCCCCCTTTAGAGGAATAGTCATATATATATATATACATATATATGTGTATAGTAAAGAAAAGTATGTTCCACAGGATTATTGTATTCAGAATTAGACCCTACTTCAGCTAAACCATAAAATCTTGTGAGTCAAAATTCTATAGAATGGGGAAACAAGTTGTATATTTTAAATTTTACCTTTCGCGCGCAGGTAACATTTACCTTTAATTCTCAAGTGTTTGAAAAATTTTAAGCTTTACTTGCTGGACACAGAAACATTATTGTCGAGAGTTTTTAAAACTTTCAGAATCATACAAAATCAATATAATTATATTAATAATATAATGCAATTATAATGTATATGTTTATTGAAAATTCAATTTAAAATTTTCTCATGATCTGTAAAATGATAAAAATTTCTTAATTCCTTAAGGTAGTTAGTTCTATATTCTATATGTATATATATGTATGCAATTCTCTGCTATAGGTATCGACTGCACAACAAACGTACCACCTGCCGCTTCCAATTAAACCTCGAGGCGTTATTTGCTAATTTCACTGTTAATTGTTTACCGTTAATTACTCGCGAATAAGGAAATATCCGTGACACGCTCCGCGCGGAGGTTGGATTAAAGAATTAATTATTGATCATTGTGTGAACAAAATGAGCGCGCAAATAAAATTGATTAGAATTTTATGTATAGCAGAATCCTAGATTTGATAAATAAGTTTTAATACAAAAAATAAAAATTAAATAATAAGAAGAATTTTCATTTAAAAACACTGAAAATTCTTTTTTTTTTTAAATAAATCTATAGGAAGAAGAAAATTTCATTATTTTTTTCTATATTGTACGTGGCACGCGAAACTACTTGTAAGGAATGCGTATTCATTGAATCTGATAAACCATATAGGATAACAAGATGATAATGTGAGAATATACTGGTAATTACTAGAATGATAATAATGACAAGAAACAGTGAACTATATACAGTATATATAGACAACTATAGGATGGAACCGAGCGATCTGGAACGATAGCAATAATTAATGATCACAATCGTATATATACGAAAATGAGGACCGTCGAAGACTAGACGATAACAAGCGGTCCAGCGATCTTATTAGCGATAAGTTTAGTGATAACAAGAAAGCTTTGATATTGATAATGATAATAATTATATATATAAATACTCCAATCAGGAACATCTGTACATAACGAAGAAGTGACACTACTCCATCGATGCGATTTATTGATTTTATATATATCTACTCTATAATTACATAAATGAATGAAAGTTCATTTTAGCACAATTTAAACATTTTTGACCCAAGTGTGTGGTGCGTGTACCAAAAAACAATTTTTTTCTCCATATAAAATTAATTTTAAAATGAAATTTTAACAAATTAGAAAAAAATTATCCTTTCAGAATATTATGTATAACAATAATTATTGTAGAAGCCAGAAGCGGTAACCGATAGACGGACGGACAGACAGACGCCAAAGTCTCTCATCGTCGTGTTTTATGTATGAGGTTTTTGGCCCTTGGCTATATATATATATTATACACACAAAACTGAGAGAAACCAATTAATTATAAACTCTCTCTATATATATAATTTAAAACTTAATTAACTTCTGATAAAAATGGTAATTAATTAACTTCCGAATGGAAAAGGAATTGTTAATGACTTTTTCTAATGATTTCATCACTGATATAATATTATATACATTAAAAGTTTATACATATATATATATATATATATATATATATATATATATATATATATATATATATATATATATATATATATGTCATTAATATATGGTAAACAGTTCTGGGTATATATAAAGGATGATTTCTTGTCGCGCACGTATATAAAAAATTGAAAATAATTAATATTATACTCGTAACATGTGAAATTGGTTGACAAAATTCTAATAGAATTTAGTTATATATAGAAAGTTTTTTCTTTTCCTTGACATTTTTTTTTTCTTTTTAAATTCATTTAATTTAAACGTAAATTAGCTTCATAGCAGCACATTTGCTTAATGTAGAAACGCGTATAGTAATGATTTCACAAATTTCAATTAAAGTTTAATTAATGAACTGACATTCGAGCAGGCACGCTAGACCAGAAGGAGAGAGAGAGAGTGAGAGTGAGTGAGTGAGAGAGGCCCCTTCAATATTAGACTCGAGTGGATTAATATCTTTAAGCGTATCAGCAATCAGACTATACACCACGTACCACTAAACGAGTCTCACGAACCTGTTAAGCTCGAAACTTTCCAACCTAGTTTCACCAAGTTGGTTAAATAATTTTAATTCTAAACATTTTCATTAAATAACTCAAAAAGTTTAATTGATAAAATTAAAAAGTCAGTATATATATATATGTATATAGAATTTCAGTTTCGATATACATACATACAGGTTCATGCAAAATTCTTATATTTAAGATATTTCTCTAAAAAATGGGTTTTGTTTTTGATATCAAATTTTTAAATTTATTATAATTGAATAAAATGAAAAACAACAATTAAATAAGAATATATTTGTTATAGAGGTAAATATTTGTTTGTTTCCTATAAGTATAACAGTCGGCAGAAAGTCTACAGACTGCTGTCTGCTGAAAGTATAGTTGTTCAAAAAGTATTTTTATTTTCTACTTTTTGCTCCCCTTTTTCCTCGTTTCATTTTTTTCAGTTTCATATTTCTCTATATTTGTAAAATATTCTCTCTCTCTCTCTCTCTCTCTCTCTCTCTCTCTCTCTCTCTCGGCACATCTCATCGTATCCTGACGTACTTAATTAAATACGTATTAAGGTTCTGAGTGTATTCCGATGTTCCGATTTGCGGGTTCTCTCGCAAATTGTGGCTGTATGTCTTCATACATGTGCGCATGTATGTTTCGGTGTTTTCGCAGAGAGCTGTACATATATATATATAGAAATTTAAGTTTAGTCTTTGTAGTCGCTTCGCGCATCAATACAAATATAAGAAAATCACATAATTTCTGAATTTCACAATATGAAACTACTTTACAGTTTAATAATTTTTGACCCAAGTATGCGCGGTATATACCAAAAAAATGCCAGAAATTTGTTTTTAGCACAACTTAATCATTTTAGACCCAAGTGTGTAGTTTATGTACCAAAAGAATTTCGGAAATTTCTTTTTAGTACAATAAAATAACACAGCCCCACAAAAAAAAAGTGTCATGTACTTTTGACCGGAATACCCTAACCCTATGTATTTTGACGCGCTGAACACGAATCCGAAGTCCGTTTTGCTCCATCACGTCAGGATTTTTTTCTAACCTCAAAAAACATGTCGGATTTTGAGAAGTAGGCAAATTTTTTAAAAATTG